ATGGGAAATCTAGGGCTTGTTCATCCAGTGCTGATGGGCTGGTACTGTGGGACCCTGAAGACCACCACTTGAATCACTGATAGTAAGGCAAGTGTTGGGGCAGGAGAGAATAATTTTTCTTGCACTTCTGAGCTTTGTTTCACAGCTCCAGGAAAAGCCAAATGCAGATGCAGTGCTAGCTGGCATAGCCTTGTTAGAATACAGCTTTTCATTTGGGCTTTTCTTTTTATCTTGCACAAGATGCAGTCCTGGCTTGTCAAACCTGGGAAATGGGTGATTCATTGTCCTGTTCTCAGTAAATTGCAGTGTGATTCCCAATTTACCTGCCATATGACCAGTTCTTAAAAACCCAAATGCATAAGCAGTCTGTGCCCAAGAACATGGGAAGGGAGCACATTACTTACAAAGTATGTAATCAAGCAGTGTGATCTAACCATTAACTGGGTGACATCCTTCTCTTTATTTGGACAGTTTACTGGCTCTAGGGTTTCAAGTGGGAGCTGTCACTTACACTTTATGATAATACAACTTAATTAAAATTTTATTCCTGTACCAGCAAGTGCCAGGTCACCAGATGGTTCCTAACTGTTATGTCCACATATTCTGTTCTGGACTGCAGCAGACTATGTTTGTGCTAATGTTACTGGGACAATTGCTACATGTCCTTTGCAAATGTTTACTATACAAATCTTAAGTCTTTAAATAATGTAAAAAGAATTGCTTCAGTATTTACTAATCCATGTAAAGTAATAAACTTCCACAAGACCCTAACAGCTTTTTAACCACAATAAACTAGTGCGTTGTTATTAAAAAATCAGAATTTCTGAGATTGTAAAAGCTGTAATACAGTCAGAGAGGTAATTCAAATCACACAGTCTCATCATATCAGTAAGTGCAATGTAAGTAATGCTTATCCTGAGGCAAATACTTTCCAGACTGTGGGACAGGATACCCAAACTGGGAGGTTAGAGTAGAAGATGTTAACAGAACACATGAAGAAAATCTGCTGACTATCACAGGTTTATGGAAAGCAAGAAAGGATACACACTGAGAGGACGTGCATCTGTAGATCCACTTCATACTTCTGAAACTCTTGCTTATATACTTATATATATATATACTTATATATATATATATTATATATAAGTATATATATATATACTTATATACTTATATATATACTTACTGTACTGGGCTTAGAAGAACTGTGTGTCATGAGCTCCAGGCCTGTCCATGACAGAAAGGGAAGATGAACACTGAAGCCCATTAAAGTTGAAGGCACGGGCTGGACCCTGCTTCCCTCTCTCCCTGTGTCCTTGTAGGTCTTTTCCCTTTTGGTCATATATGTGAAGAAGTGGTAGCTTGGCCTTTTTCTTGTAGCTGGTTCTGTGTCTGCATGTGAAATAATGAAGGAATAGGAGATAAAGTGATTGCAGAAGATTCTTTTGAGAGCAGGTACCTGGCGTGCTCTGAGTAAATGGCGAGAGGGAGCTTTCATGCAGAAATGAACAAAACTATTTAGGTCTCTTCAGGAGTAATGAGCATGGTACTGAAAGACAGAACCAGCTGCCTACTTAGAGACAGGCACTGAGGACAATCACGACGACAGCTTTTGGAAAATAGAGTGTAATAATGCATGATATGGTATCTGATGGATTGCCTGACCACTTGCTGGAGTGGGGACAGGAGGTTTTGTAGCTGCTGCATTTGAGAAACTCATTTACTTCATGAGACATTTTTGCACTTAACCTCCAGATGTGCCTAAAAGTCTTGTTGATGTTCCCCAGTGCCTGTCAGGAAGTGATAAAAAAGAGAGAACAAGTAATCCCTGTCACTGCTGGTGACTGTATATCAGTTTCTAAACTTAGAGTGGCAGGGCTTTCCTCTTTGCTTCTTTGGTTGCTTTTGCTTTACTCTGTTGTCTTTAATTGCAGTATCAGAGGGTATTTGATGGTGTGTGTGTTTTCGTGCTTGTTTTTAACTTTTTGTCGAGAACAACTCCCAAACTGAAAAGAAAGAGAAAAGATCAGCAAATTGTGTTTTGTGTAGGGATGGTAAAAATGTAATTTGTGATATATAAGTAATTTTTATCCAGATTATCTTAGAAGACAAATTCTTCCTTGTACAATCAGGAAGGTAATTGAAAGACAAGTTGAGATATTAAAGTTAGCCAGGGGAGAAGCAAATGAAACTAGGTTCTGTCCAAGAGGGACTCATCCCTAAAACTTACTCCCTCCTTCCTGTTCTTGTCTGTCTTCATTTTAATGTCCTGCAGGTGAAAATGCAAGGCCTATGGGCCTATTCCAGAAAAACACACTTTCTTTGACCCAGAGTGCAGGGATCAAAGTCTTGTTGTTATTGCATCAGTACAGTTTTACTCTGCTTTATGCTGTACATCTGATCCATAACTTTGGTATTTACTCCAGTTGCAGAACTGTTGGCAGACCAGTGTGAGACAGCTCCAGTAAAAGCAGGACTGCTGGGATCTACATTATTGCTAAACTCAAAACAAACCAAAATGCTTATCTTCACAGTTCTTCCTATTGAGATTAGAAGTAGAAGTAATAAATACAGTGAAGGAAGCTGTTCTCAAATTATTTGGTATGCTAAGTGGAATGGGAAAGTGCTTAGAAATATTTCTCAAACGGTTTTTGTAAACATTCCTTGAATAATTTTCCTGTGCTTAGGTTTGGTGTGTGTTTAAGAAGACAGGGACACTTTCTAGAAAATTAGTTTTTGTCTTCCCTTTTGTATTTTAGAAATCTCATGGAGCTTGGGGAAACAGAATTTTAGTTCCATTTTAAGACTTTAAAAGAAGCAAATAAAGTTTCAGAGGAACAACTGAAACTTAGCCCTCAACTTGACACCAAACTCCTCCAAGTTTGGCCCTGACTCATTGTTCTGGACATATAAATGTAATGCCAGCAGCTGACAAGGGATGTTTCTTTAGCTGACTACTGTACTGCTATAAGGTTTCAGAAAAACAGAAGGCAAATTTCAGTTAGGACACTATTGCAATTAGTGCTTTCCTGGATGCAGCCCTTGACTGTATCAACCCATACTAAATCCACACGGCATGTGTGTGATTTGACAGAATTTAATCAACAGCTAAAAATTTGCAAAAAAAATGCAGTTAAAAAGTGGTGTTGTAACAGTGATGAATACCAGGGAAGCAGCAAGTCAGTGAATCTGCTGATCTCACTGAAAATTAACCAGATTTCCTATTGATAAAAGGCTTTGAATGGGTATGTAGGAAATGTACTGAAGTACCTTGAGTTTGGGTTCTTGCCTTTCTGTTGAAGGTCCCTGAACAACTGGTTGGATGCTTGTTTTGAAGAAACCCTATGCATCTATTCCACTGTACAAATAAAAATGCACAATGTCTGGAGGGCTGTAGAGTAGCATTACAGAAGCAGCAGGAGATGAGAGACCTGCAACAATCAAAAGGCTGCTAACAAACAGATTCTCTTACCTACAATAATTCTATTGCTGAGTCTTGTTAAGAGTTGTGGATAAGAAAATTAAAACTGCATCCCATGTTATATCAGTTTCCCTCATATTGTGTTCGATATTAGCAAGGTTTGACCGTGTATCCTGAAGAGTTTCCTTCACTACGTATGACATTAAATTTTGATCAGCATTATTATTAGCTTAGTCTTATCCCAGTGTTGACACCAGCAATCAGGAGTAAGCATAAGAAATGTTAAGGACTGCAATGCAGAGAAGTTCAGACCATGATCTGATGGTTTGTGTCTTAAATTTTATGTCTGGCATATTCCTGTGGACAAGAACTTTAGGCAATACAGTTACCCACAGGCAGAAAGAGCAGGAGTGACATGAAGGAAGGAAACAGAAATATACAGCAATTTCTAGATTTTTTTTTTGGAAGATGGGTGAAGTTAGAATTACATAGAAATGGGTAGAGAGTAGGAAACTAAGGTTCACAGAAGCAGGAAGGGGATAAACCATGCAGAGCCCAGCAGACAATGGGCAGAACTTTAATTTCATATCAAAGATGAGAACAAATCAGTGAAGGTGTCTGAGAAGTGTCTGGAGTTTTCCTGAATGATAAGTAGGGCAAGATGAATTCTAAAGATGGCATGAAATACGTGATGAGAAGAAGCTGGAACAGGCAAGGCATCAAGATGAAAGGCACAACAGGGCAGGCAGTGGGAGATGTCCCTGAAATATGGTTCTGTTGGCACTGAAACTTAGGGAAGAGTCAAAGGTTATATACTCTTAGTACATAAGCATAAGAGACACAAAAATACTGAATCTGCAAACAGTTAAAGACAAGAGAAAAGGAGCTGGAATTTCATTGACACCAAGGGAGTTTCTTTCAATCATGATACCACTAAACTTCCCCAATGCCTCTGAAAATATTTGTTGAGGCATGACTTATCTACTTTCAAAAACATTTTTGCATTCCAAGAGATAACATGGTTAGAGTCCTCTGCATGGGTTTCCATTCTGCAACCTTTTTTGAGGTGACTAATTCTCATGGAATTTCAGGGGATTTGATACTTTAAATACCTTTACTTGCATTAAAAAACATAGCTACCTACTGTTAATAGATACATAAAGAACATGAAGGCATGGATGAAAATTTATAGGCTATCATCCAGAATGTTTGTAAAATGTCTATGATTAGAATAAATATAAATAATAGACATCTGAACATTTCTAATTAACATGTTAGTTTTGTGGGTTTTTTCTGTTGTTTGAGGAGGTAGGGTGGGTTTGTTTGGCTTTGGGTTTTTGTATAAACTGTACCTGAATCAATCCTTTAAATGTTCATTTAGTTAGGAGTAGTGTGTATTTCAAATGTTATTTAAACATTCCTCTGCCAAGCCATTTTATTTTAAACAAGTGGTAAATGAATCACTTGCAGAGGTCTCCACAGGATTGAAGATTAATACTCTTTTCTCTGGCATGACACATTCAAATTCATCCTCTAGAAAACAATAGAGAACACCGACTACCCTTCTGGGAAAAGGCAAACAATTCCGTCAGGGGAGGTTTACATTACAGTTGTCATATAAAATTCAGGCAAGTGAAACCATAAAAGCCAAGCCAAAACAAAAAACAGTTTAATACAGGTGAATGTCAATGCCAAACAAGAAAAAGGCAGTGAAGCTGCAGCTTGTCTGGGTGACTTCAACACAACAGAACTGCATGCATACAAGGAATTTAAAATGAGGGAAGAACCTGAATGTGAACAAAACTGAAATTAAAATCGAGCAGTATACTGACTGAAAGCGAGGATAGAAAATGCAAGTAGCTAGCTGGTAGCAAACCTTAGCTATAGCAGATGTGAGTGCCATTAGCTCTAAATGCATGTTAAATTAAAGCCAGCATCTGTTCTTGCAGATATGGCCTCAGTCATCTTAAAAGAAAGATTAATTTGGAAATCAAAACTTTAGAAAAAGATTAATGGCAAGGTTTGGTAGAGCTAGAGAAACCTGATGTCTGATAACCATGGGCAAATGTTCACAGTCCTGTTTTTTCTGCAGCTCCGAGTGAGTGGTGTTACACAGGAGCTGGTGAAGGTCCTGCACCTAGAAGTCAAGTAAACCTTTTAAGGATGTGAATATGAGACTCAATGATTTGACTTCTTTCTAGACAATCAAAGCTAAGCAAGTATTAAAATGGTGACAAATGCTGAGACAAGGAAAGCAAAGTCCCAAAGATTTCTAAATAACAATCAGCATCTAACTCTGAGCAGCACTTATACAAAGAGAAACAAAATTATTACAATACCAGGCATCATAAAATACTGGAACCTAGAAAAATGAAAGCAGTAAGAATGAGTCAAAAGTTCAGTCGCACAGTTACCAAGCCTGGATGTAACTTCAGGAAACCGAGGAAAAGGACTTTCAAAATGGTGAAGGGATTACAAATAGTAAAATAGGCAGTAGGAACTATCATCAGAGAAATCACAAACAGAAAAGAAATTGTGTCCTCTAATCAGAGTACTGAGAGCTGAGGAATAAAGAAATGGAGGAAACATGCCTAGCTGGGACTTCTGAACACTGTTCTTAGTCACCAAGTATTAAGACTGAGAATAAGTACTTGGCAGCAGGAGGAAGGTTACAATAGAAGGGGTAAAGTGGCAGAAACCATCAGTGTTTGGTATCCTGCTCTTCTCATTGCACCATCAGTTATATAGTACTGCCTACCTAAATTCATTTTAATAAATAGGATGCTGAAATAACTGTTTAAAAAACAGTCACAGAAAACTTGCTTTAGGGTCATAAATTCTGAATTAATATGTATATCCATGAGTTTATTTCTCATTTTGGGTCTTGCTGTAAAACATGAAGTTCAGTTTTATATGATTTAACAACCCTTAACATAAGCAACAAAGTTATGGTTTTGACCACTCATCTACCTTATTTCTAGAATATTGTACAGATTTAGAGCAATGTTGCTAAAGTAACAAGTCTAAAGTAAGAAGTCAGATGGCTTTGCTTAGTGAGGATCTATATTAAGTAATTACTTCTCACATTTTAATTTCACTATAGTAAAGTTTAAAGTTTTAAAGTTTACAACAATATAAAACTTGAAGTAATCATAGTTTACTGTTTAATGGTGTGGAGCAAGGAAATTTTTAGAGGTAATGAGTCAATGAGACCACGTATTCTTAAATATTTATGCTACTTCTGGGATGGTTGTGCAAGAACTGTGGAGTATATGCTACTATTATTTGCTTCTCCCAGCATATTGCCATGTCCCCTGCACAAACATGATCCAAGAAATTGAGCCCTTACAGTTTAGAAATTATGTCTTTATGAAAGAATGATACAATACTTCCATTAGACAAACCTCTTATTAAGCCTCTGATGTTAACAACCTGATAATGGGGGTACAGGATGCAAGTTATAATGATAAAATTCGCTAGCTAGTATAATGTTGCTGAGTGCAGATTACTACAGGATTTGTACAAAATGGAATTTGTTGCTGCCAATTTTTTTCTTATTTTGTACTGATAGCAAACATATCTGTTTTGTTATGTTGGGCTGACATACAGAAACCTCTTGTCTTTAGCAGATACGTCTTGCCAATATACTGGTTTATGAGTTTTCAATAATAAATCAGTGATGAAAAGTTCTTTCCCACTTTTGTTGACTGAGAGTTGCTGTTTGAATGTTGAGTAAAAATTAATTTACTCTCACAACAACATAGATAATATCTGAAAAGATTATTATCTCTGATGGTGGAGACTATCTGCTAACCTCTCCATGCAATACTAACTACCTGGAGTCTATATCTGAAAACAAAAAAACAAACTAAAACATGTCAGCACGATGCTGCAGTTCTATTCTTGTGTAATGTCTCCTATTGTCTTCCTAGTATGCATTTTCATCATTCTCTCAATAAAATTAAAAATGCTATTACACAGTAAACATTAGAAATGTTATCCCAAATAAAATAAGCTGAAAAGAGAATAGTTTCATTATTTAAACAAAAGAAATATTGTTCCTACCATATTTGCTTCAGGAAATTGAAAAGTGAAGATGGGATAGGGGATAGAAAAAGGACAGGAAACTTACCCTTCAGTTTCAACCCATTTGGGGTTGAAAATAAACTTTTATTTTTAAAACAAACTTTTCTTAAATAATGTTCAAATCATGGACTTGTAGAGTTAGCAACTCATTTAAATAGCCACACTATAAAAATGGTTGGTCAGCATTGTATTTTAATGACAGTTTTGCCCATAAGAAGTGCAAGACATTATTCCATCAAAAAAATCAGAGTTACTGCCATCTGCAAATGACAGGCTGAATTCATGTGTATCAAAGAAGTCCATGGCATTGGAAGAAAAAGGAAAAATAATATTTTGGTCTAGAATTGTAACTGATGAAAGAGACACCCTAAATAACATAAAAGAATTGCTCTGGCCAGAGATTCCTTTGATATATGAGTAATTTTAGCTGCTTACCTTTAGATTAAAAATTTTAGTAGTGGTGTTCTCAGAAGTCAACACTAGATACTTGAATAATCCTCACAGATGTTCATACTTTAAATAGGAGAGGTACTGTCATTTCTACAAAATAAACATGTAGTAGGATGGAAAGGAAGAAATCCCTCCAAGATGTTGAAGTGTAAACATGGGTACGTGCAGCAAAGTACATGGAAAACTACAGTGGGAAATGAAAAAAGTTGTGGAAAAAGTCAGATTGTAAATTATAAGGAAAAGGGGAGTGGGTAAGTCTGCCATTTAACCCTGAGCATAAATGTTTTAATTGATGAGGTAGCTAGGAATGTAAAGCTGACACAGATGTACTACTCAAAGAGAATGGAAAGGGGTGTACAAGAGACTAAAAAGGCAGGAATTTTTAGTCCTCTTCAGATTCAAGCCAAAGAACGTCTCTAAAATTTGTAATAGGGATATGGGCTCTAAAAAACCTCAGTAGTTACTCAGAAGCATTAAGTTCAATGATCAAATTGGAAGCCATAAAAACCAAACCAGAAATCAAAAGCAAACATCAGTAATAGTTCAACCATCTTGACAGAAAAGGGAACATGGCAAATTCCTCCTATTCTTGAATTTTTAAATCATGACATAATATGCTTGTTTGTTCCAAGTTTCTGGACTGTGGGTGCTGACCCCCTCTCTTTCCCCAGTGTCAGAGAATGCAATCAGGGAGTTGTGAAGCATTGAAAATTTACTGTGCTCTTCCCTACTCTTTGCACACCTTTTACCTTCAAGGTCAAGTGACTTCCATCCACCTCTTAAACTCTCCCACATTATATAGATTTACTGTCACCAATAATTCTTACACTATTTTATAAAAAAATTGGGAAAATCTAACTTAAATGAGAAACTTCAACTTAAGAAACTCTAAAAGGGCTTATCTAGTTCTGGTCACTATATTTAGTGATAGAACAGGGAAGCAAATACATAATTATACAGATTAGCTAATAATGTATAGAGCTGTGAATCTTATGTTTTAAGTAACTACCTGTAAAGAAAATGAAGCACAGAAGTATTTTCATGAGGAATAAAAACTTACATTTGGTTAGGAAGGAATTTTGTACTTGGCTGTTTCTGTAGCAATGTATAACTTCTACCATGGCCAAGTTTTGTGGGTACTGACTGCTTTTGCTGCTTCTGTCTTCATCTCTGCTTTGACAATAAGTTATGTTTCCTGTGCTGTTTGGATTACTTTTGTGTTAAGACACTTAAATCAGGCTGTAGGTACCACTTGAGCCATTTGTTAGAGATTCAAATAGTAGTTTATTTTAGAAACCTCTTAACTAAATTCACTGACGTGTTAAATGTGCATGATAAAGTCTTAAATTATCTTGTATATATTGCAGCTAAATGTAACAGGCCTCATAAAGTTTAAATATCATATCTTAATCCAGACAGTGAAAACTTGTAATTACATTGTGTATCCTGGGAGCTTGTTTATTACAAGTTCACTAATGTCTTTGTACTGATTAGGAGCAAGTAGTTTTTCCAGAAAATCCTCCTTTTTGTCTGACATACTGTTTTCCAGGACACTAAGTTCAAGATCAGACACGTTAGATGGCAAGTAAGAGCTAACTTTAGTTACTGACTTTTCTTCTGCAGAGGTCTGCCCCTTTCCTATGATCAGATCAGTAGCAGATTTAACTTGTTTGCTTGTCGATATTTGTTTAATATGCTGATCACCCCTACTCTCTTCCTTACTGATCTGTTGGGCTTTCTCCTCTTCATCTAATAATGATGCCTCCATCTGAGCAAGGTTAAGTGAGTCAGAGGATTCAGCACTAGTTCTTTTGCTGGTTTTAAAGTCACGGTTTGTCCTCGAAGACTGGACTGGAGATGAAGCTGAAGCAACTGGCACGAGATCTGAAGTACTTTCAGCTTTTTGACTTGTCTTTGAAATTCTAGACCTGCAGGATTCTGGCTCTGTATCTGACCTACCTCGCATTGGGCTTTCAAGACACAGAGGTTCAGGACTGCTGTCAAGAGCTTCTGAGTCTGTACACTCAGCACTGGTGAAATCTTCGGAATAAACTGTGTTTTCAGGACTAGCAACAAAGTCATCCGAGTATATGAATTCAGAATTGTTTTCAACACTCCTGCTGAGGCTGGGTTTATGAGCACTTATAACAGATGTGTCATCATGCTCTGTAGTTTCATGATGGATTAAGTGTATTGCTTCCTCGTTACTTCCCTTTGCATTAGCATCTGATGGGAACGCTGCTAGGAGTTGAGCTTTTGCATACTTTTCCTCCTGAACAGATTTTAACACAGTTTCCTCCGGTAAGCAGGCTGTAGTTACTTTGTATGGATGCTCCTTGCTTGCAATTGCATCGTTCCTCTGTAAATTTGCAATAGTCTGTTCCTGCAGGTCTGGGGACACATCTACTGTCACAGAAATGGACTCTGAGAGAACACTGTTTTCTAATGAAGTCTGGACAGTTTTATCCAACTGATTATTCCGCTTTGAACTGTCTCTCTTGCTACAGTGCCTGCAAGAAACCACATGCTGTTCTCCGGCATTTCTGAGCAGCTTTCTGTTGAGTAAGGGGCTTCTCTCCTTCAGCATCTCCATTTGCTTTTTTCTGTACTTCTCCCTCCTTTCATGAATTATCAGCTTATCGGGGTTGGTCTGCTGCAGCCGTAGCCTCAACGTATTTGTCAGCCCATACAATAATTTCTTTCTGGGAGGTCTGTTCTCCTTGGCTTTGCAGTTCCTTTCAGCAGCTGGCTGTCCCTGGAGCACAGCTTTCTTAGGTCCTCTCCCAGCACCAGAAGATACTGGTGGGGTGGCCTCTTGCCTGCCTGGTTTGAATCGGGGGCTCACAGCTCCACTGCTCCCACCAGGCCCCACAGGTGCCTCTGCAGGCTTGAGGGCAGCAGAGGGGCTGGGAGGCCGGGACGCCCTTTCACCATTCCCCGGGGCCTGGTAAAACCAGGCAAGATGTGGGTGGACAGCAGCAGCAGGCACAGCGCTGTGGGTGAGCACCGACAGCTCCGCCAGCAAGGCCCTGAGTAGCGGCAGCTGCCCCAGGGTGTTGGGGAGCTGTCGAGAGCTGGCGGGGTGCAGCAACGAGGGCCCGGCACTGGGACGCGGGGGACTCTGGCCTTTGTCTTTCTCCTGCGATCTCCTGACCTCGACGCGCTCCCATTGCGCCGCGGCCGCCGCTGCTGGGGGCCGCTGAGGCTCAGCCGGCTCACGGCTGTAATAAAGCAGCGGAGGGCAAAAGACGTTGCCTTCCAGCTCCTCACTCTCCTCCTCCTCCTCATTCGCCTTCTCCTTCTCCTCTTCCTCGTCCCCCGGCTCAGGGGAGGTGGCAGACGGCGGCGTGGCAGCGCGGGGGCTTGCGGGGCTCGCCGGGGGCGGCTCCTTGCCGGCCTCCAGGCAGGTGAGGCGGTAGCCCAGGACCAGCTCCCCGACGGGGCGGCCCGCGGTGTCTCGCAGCGCGAAGCGGCCGCGGCGGCCGCACGAAACGGGCGCTCCGGGCCGGTGCAGCAGCTCGGCGGCGGCAGGGGCCAGGGGGACGGCGCAGCTGCCGAGGAGCCGGGGGGGCCCAGGGGCGAGCCCGGCGGGCAGCGCCAGAAGCAGGGCGCGGAGCGGGCGGCGGCGAAGCGCGGCGCTGAGCGAGCCCCGGCGCCAGCGGAACAGGCAGCGCTTGCCGCGGCCGAAGGGGAAGGGCTGCCCCGGCCGCAGGGGCGGCGCGGTGGCGGCGGGGCGCAGCACCAGGGTAGGGAATTCCAAGAGGCGCAGCGCCACGGCCGGGTGCTCCGCGGGGGCTGGGTGCTCCGCGGGGGCTGGGTGCTCCGCGGGGGCTGGGTGCTCCGCGGGTCCCGGCCCCGCCACCCGCACCGCCTCCACCAGCAGCTCCAGCGCGAACAGCCCCTCCATGCCGGCCCGCGGGCACAGCTCTCGCGAGAGCTCTGTCTGTGTAGTGTGAGGCGCGTAGGCGAGGAGGTCGTTCTCTCGCGAGAGTTGCGCCGCGGGGGCTCAGCTTTCGAGGGCGGTCGTTCTCCGTCGCCGCTCTCTGTCCGGCGCGGGCTGTGCCGTGGACGCCCGTCTCCTGGTCACCCCGCAGCGCAAGGGGAGACCGTTGAGATCATCGAGTCCAACCTGTGACCCAACGCCACTAAGTCATTTAGACCATGGCACCCAGTGCCACGTCCAGTCTTTCCTTAAACACCTCCAGGGACGGTGACTCAGCCACCCCCCTGGGCTGCCCATTCCAACGTTTAATCACCCCGTCTGTGAAGAAATTCTTCCTAATGTCTCACCTAAACCTCCATGGCACAATTAAGACTATACCCTGGTCACGGGAGTATATTTCTTTTCAAAACAAACCCCAACATTTTGGGTTTCAGTTGCAACTCAGAAATTAAAAAAGCGTTTTACTTTACAACAATCCTGGTTTCTACTAGCCACCGTTTAAAGGAGACTGGTGATAAAGACTTCAGGTTGCATATTACAGAAGACTAATTTAGGAAACAGGCATGGTGCACAGGCAGGGTTATGGAGCCGTGTTTCGTTACCTGCTACCACCCCAAATACCACAGATATGTATTTGGATCTCCATTAGTTACATTTAGTATTCTTTTTAAAATAGCTCTGGTCCTTCTCAGTCTTCCTTTCTTAGAAACAGACTTCAAATTTTTTGCCTTTTTTTTTCAAAGACTGGAAGACGGAGGAATTTTGCTGATTCAGTGAAGTCTTTCACTGACTTTGTTCATACCTTGAAGTACTGACATTTTGTCTCAAAAAATCCCAACCCAGACAATTGGTATCATTAGCAGCAACTCAGCAACTTTGGTTTAAATCTATCTTTTGAAGGCTCTGAAATGCCTTTTTTCCTCCCTTAATTCCTGTACAATTTCAGATTTATCAATGTCTCAACACAAAGAGATATGTCTGTACAGTTTCATGCCTGTTTATAGATGAAGTATGACAAAAAAAGGAGATCTTGGAAAAACATGGATTTTTCTGGATTCACAATTAAATCTATTTATTCTAGTGTTGTTCTAATGATTGCATTTTTTACAGCTCAAATGCTGGAGTAAAGAGCTGTTGTTCACCTGGATATAAAATTGATCTTCTCTGTGAAGAATGTGCAGGGCGATGCTTGGAATTTGTGCAAATATTTGGCCTGGTGGCACTCTGATTCAGAAAGGAGTCAGACAGTCTGTTGGAATATTCAGCTGCAACATAATAGCAGTTCTTAAAATACTCCAGCTTAAAATGCCACCCAGAGAAAACTTATTTAGTCTTTTCTCAGTTGTCTGTTGAGTCAGCCACTTGTGAAAAGGCAATAAACAGGAAGAAATTCAGGAATTAGCATGGCAGCCTTCGATAACTCTCTTCTTCAGTTCAGAAAAAAATGAAAATTTATGAAATACAGAGGCAAGGCATTTGAGGGTTTTTGCAATATATTTAGATTTCTCTGTTGAAGACTCTAGAAAAGGTTTTGAAAAGGAATAAAGTCAAATAAGAAACCTAAATCTCTTCAGAAATTACTGTTTACATATGTTTCTGTATATTGTGCAGAGTTTTGCAGGGAACTTTGCTGTTTCCTGTGTTCAGATTCTACTTTATGATCCTTAGTTTCGTGCTGACCCAGATCTAGTGATGTATGGAGCAGTCTAGGAACAGTTGCAATGGTATTGTTGGCATAGGCATTTTGATATCTATCAAAATGAAGGATACTGTGCTTTTTCCCTGCTTCTCAGGGTGTACCTTCCTATCCACAAAGTGCCCCATCAGTTGGGTGGTCAGAGCAGCTGGTACAGAACCTACTCAGACACACAGCTCCAAAATTCCTCCATGTTGCCATCATAAAGATGCTTGTTAACTCCTCTTACTTCAGTGTGATAGCTCTCACGTTTATTTTCATTCTCTACTATCTTTAGCAGACTTCAGGACTGTTAAAATAAACATTCTTTGCCTAGTAATGTGGCGCTTCTCCATTTGGCAGACATTTGGCAAACAAAATTTCATTGCTGTCCCTAGTATTTTATTTTTTCAGAGTGATGAGAATTACAGCTTATGGCTGAACTATGTCTACAAAGTCAGCAGGGGTAGCACACAGGGTTGTTTTCTCATTACCTCGTGGAGGGATGAGGGAAATTGTTGGCCTTCGAGATGCATGTGAATCTGTGGCTTTCACAGCCAGCTTAAAAATATAACCTGTGCCAGCTTGTCTTCTGATTCCAAATTTCTTCAAGGATTAATGGGACTGCGGCAAAACACAGCTTCTCCTTCTGTACTGAGCTGTCATCATCATCTTTCTTAGATCCAGTGAAACTCGGTGAAACTCGGTGAAACCTAAAAGAAACATGGGAAAATCTGGCAAATACTTGAGAGAGAATGATACTGTGAGACCCAACAGGAAGCAGAATGTCACAGATACAGGAGCTCAGACAACTGTATTGAACATAATAATGAGACATATCCATAAGGGTCACATATGAGGTCATTTCCTTTATTTAGAAAAGTTCTTATTAAAGGCAATAGATGATTTTGCTTAAAACAATAGTGAAGGGTCAAACTCAGGATTCAGCTTATTGAATTTTCTTTGCATAATACCCAAAAACATGCAAAGCCAATTTCCTTAAATAACTAGGTGTCTTGAGCACATGCGAGGCTTTTCTATCAGTTTTTTATTTTATATAAACCATCGTGAACTCATTTGGTATTAATGGAAATCCCATGTGTTCACATGCTGTCATTTATCATTAATTAACATGTCATTGTTTAAATTGTGTTACTCCCCATCCAATATCTGTGGAGCTCTCAAAAGTTCTCAAAAGGAATAGATTTATTTTCTTTGGCTCCATGGTTGCAGCCTGTACTTGTCATGCACATATATACTGAATGAGGAAAGGATTCCAGGTGCTTAGCCATCCAAAGAAGACAGCTTAATCACACAGCAGCACATATGCCTGTATATGTTTGAGAAGCAGACAAAACCTGCAGCAGAAGTTTTCATCAAGGTATAGGGATCCTTACAATTCCTGTTGTAACTGCAGAGGAGGAGAGGTCCTTGGCCCCTCTCACAGACATTCTGTCTCTAGGCAGTGATTTTTCAGACTCATCTCCTAAAAGGCTATGTTTACAGCATTCCTCTAGTTAAAGCTGGGAACCATTGGGGGCAAATTGCAGTTCAAATATCTGACAGAGCTTCTGACAACAAAGGCTCTTTTGAGCCTCAGGATGGTTCTTAAAGTCAATTCAATAGTTAGATGAGATTTCATTAAAATAAAAATTGAAGATATCTGCAAATATTTGAGTAGGAAACAGCTAGTGTTGTGTGCATTGTACCATCACACTGATGACACTCATTGTTTAATCTGTCACAATTACCATTGTAAAGTATGTTTTTTCAGAGGTTTTTTTTTCAGTACAGCTGTTTTGTTCGGTGCCCACTTTCAACCTTTATGCTGTTTCTCTTTTTCCCTTTAAAAACAAATTAAAACTAATTTGACTGTTTTGAGAGCTCTCCTTTAGAGAGAGCAAAACAAAAGAGCCAGGAATGTTGCTATTCAGAGCGGGACCAGATTCTCCTCACGGATGTGCACAAGGCTGAGTGACAGCCAAGTGCCTTTGCCCAGTATAAAGGAGACAGAAAATTTCTATCCCACTTAGTGATATGAAGGTATGAAGGTATGAAGCAGGTATGAACCTGCTTGTTGAGGCTGCAAAAAGAGGTATCAATTAGCCCTGTATTTTTCATGTCCCTTCTTGTTTTCCAGGGAGACGTGGTTGAAGTCCCATGGTTCAGTAAGGCAGACTGGGAGAGAGATGGCTCTCTAATGAATGCCTGACTTGCCTGGCAGTGGAATTTCCACTCAAAAGTTGAGGTCCTTTTCTTGGTTAACAGCTGTGTTTCTGGGATCTCAACAGTGATGTCCCTCTTTCATGCTTTATCCCTTAAAGCTTCTGTCCTTACTCTCGTTCTGCCAGGCAGCAAGCATGGTGTACTTCCCACTGGTGTCCTGCTAATGTCTATAACTTGCTGACTTACCATGGTGGTGGCTGTGATGTGACACTTGAATATATGGGGACAGGACAAAATCATGGCCTGTTACATGACTTGAGTGATTAGAAGGAAAAAATAAACTGTATTTTAGGATGATAAATGTGGGAATCTGGAGATCTAGCTTCAACTCTCTCTTTTGACATAGATTTCTTTAGGAAGATTTCTGTGCCTGAATTCCTCTCATAAGACATGACCAATGTTTCACAAAGATGCTGAGTGGATAAGTACTCCCTGGAAGGGAACAAATATCTGATTTGCAGCACTCCTGCCAGCCCTGCAGGCCCCTTCCCTGGAAAGTGGTGGCAAGTGGCTATCATCTGGATGGTTTTGCTTGCCTCTGAAATGCAGTACCACAGCCCAGAGTGAGACCACCAGCCCTTCACAAGCAGTGAAGACTAGCTGGAAGTGAGCAATTCCTTATGGCAAGACCCAACCAGCTCTTTCCCACTTCAGAAGTGGGCACTGCAGCACAAGGGAGCACTGAGAGGCCAGTGCCTCTACAAGGTTCCCCGTGGTTCCATGCAGGGCTGTTAGGCCCTGAAAATGTGGCATCCTGTCTGAGCTAATTATCTCCCTGGCTCTTGAGAGGGCGAGTCCAGGCACGGCACTGTGCTGACACAACTGTCCTGCTGCTGGTTCCTTGGCTGGTGCTGTCTGGGGGATCCCAGCGCTGCACTCCATTGCAGAGTGTAGCTGTGCCTGTAGGAACTTTTCACAGGTAATCATGGTGCTGGAAAAGTATTTAATTCACTGCAATGCGAAGAGCCCTGTGGGCTACAGCTAGGGAGGAAAATAGGCTTGTTTCTCTTGTGCTACACCATGTATTCTGCATGGGCAGGAAGACACAGTGCTGTCTGTTGTA